GTCTCTCTGTGCATTTATATAAACGTGTTTATATAAATATAAATTTATATTCATATAAACGTGTTTATATAAATATAAATTTATATATATATATAAACGTGTGCAAGCTGGTGAGCTTGCTATTGAGGAATGTATATGTGTAAGTAAACATGACATTACCAGATGACGTATTAGTGCAGAGGAGAATGGAGAGTTAGTACTGGCCCGCCCCCTGCGTCACAACCAGTCCCCAGAGTTAACACAAACTTGTAATGCAACACAACGCTGATTGAACCAGCGGATGTGCCTACCAGGTCAGATTATCGAAATTGTGGGAGGTCTGTGGACCGAGAGACGGAAACACAAGCTCAGAGATAGACAGGGATAGAGAGAGACAGCACAGACACTGTCTAACTTTTACAGGGTTCTCTGTTCGGAAAAATTAAACGACTTTCGCTTTCAAGGAGAAAGTAAGCAGGAACACTGTAGGTTTATACAACACCTAATAGCGTAGTACCATCTGGGAGGGTAAACCACCACCACCTGGGATGGTACACCACCACCACCACCTGGGAGGGTACACCACACACCTACCTAGGTGGGTACAACCACCACCTGGGATGGTACACCACCACCACCACCTGGGAGGGTACACCACCACCACTTAGGTGGGTACACCACCACCTGGGAGGGTACACCACTACCACCTGGCAATACAGCTTCCCCTAGAATGGCCTCGGCGAGAGAGAGAGAGAGAGAGAGAGAGAGAGAGAGAGAGAGAGAGAGAGAGAGAGAGAGAGAGAGAGAGAGAGAGAGAGAGAGAGAGAGAGAGAGAGAGAGAGAGAGAGAGAGAGAGAGAGAGAGAGAGAGAGAGAGAGAGAGAGAGAACTGACCTAGAAACAGAAGCAGAGGGAGATAGAGAGACACAAAGACACATACAAGCCAAAGGAAACATAAACGTAAATATAGACCGAGACAGAAAGACATAATCGACCGACAGTTAAATCCCATCTCAGTCTCCCTACATCCCTACAATTTAGACTAAGGACATCCCCCCACGCCCCGAGGACATGCCTCACGCAGCACCCGTGTCCGGCCAATGATCACCCCATGTGCGGCAACATGTCCATGTATTGCCAGGGAAATGACGTCGTAAATCCTCCCCATGAGGGCAGTAAACAGTCAGGATGCTCAATGTCAGGAGTTGGCATCACTGCTGCTAAGTCTGCTTTGGGACATGTTTGCATAAAAATTATTTATCTTCTATTTGACAGCTTCTCTGTTATTATGCGTTATATATCTGGGATATAAAAGCGTGTCTGAATTAATAATAATAATAATTAATTCCCATTAATGAAATCCTATTAATGTGATAAATCAGCGAGAAATTCAGTGTTATAGTGGTCTAAGGTGTTTGTGAATACTCAGGGCATTGGAACGCTGGGGTGGAAGGTGTGATTTCTGTGTGCAAATGACAAAAATAATAATAATTCAATTATTCATGAGAATAAACACAACTAGAATTACAACTCCAAACATTCATATCAATAGCAATTTTCTTTTTAATAATTCTTCTTATCCAGAGGGTCCTTCACACGTCCTGATCTAATTTAGGCAGAAATTGTTTGAAAATTTTTCAACTTCAGCGTCAAAAATTTTATTAGCATTTCTGATTCATATTCATGTGGCTAACGAAGCTACAAAAAAAATTAAGGAGCAAAAAAAACAATGTTATTTTTGTGGTGAGAAAAAAATTAAATATAATTTTGTATCAACCAAAGCATTTCGTTCTTTCACTTTATTACACAATCTTTCCTCTCGTCGTATACTGCAACTGCGTTGTGAACAGAATGTGTTGAATATTATTGAAAGGATATCAAGAGAGAGAGAGAGGGGGGGGTGGAGGGGCGAGAGAGAGAGAGAGACTATGCTGACGACTGCACTCAGACATTTACTTATAGAAATTAAGAAATACCAACTGCTACAAGACTCATTAATCACACCATGGGGAAAGAGATGACTGGTCACATTTGCGGCTAAGAAAACTCAGGCGATGGTGATTACTGGACAGCATATTGCATATCTAATGACAGATTTGTTATATCTTTCTGTTATTAACACAGCAACTATAATTTCCCTAAAGGCAGGCTGAAATTATACCATCTTCCAAACAACTACCCCTTCCCAAAATTGACTCAATTTAGATATAATTCAACTACATCTTCCTGTTTAACATCTGAGTTCCCTATCACCTTCAATTAACAAATTCCTAACAAACAATAATATTAGTACTCACGCCCAT